TTCTAATTGAGAAATAATAATGAAGAGATTGTTTTATTTGTCGATAAAATATCTAATACATAATTTTTAGTGTGTGCAAGTAATTAAATTCTTATTAAAAGAACACTATATTATTCTTTTTTTCTTTGCTTTATTTATATGAGCATTTCTTTCATATATTTATTTTATGTAACAACAAAGTGTCTGACTAGACTTTCATTTTCTACTTATTCACTATACATATATAGAAAATGCATCGATTTTGAAATTTTAAATAAATTTCGAACTAATTATTGCATATTTTTAATTTTAATTTTTTTTTTAAGGAAAAAAATATTAATAAAAATAAATTATTAATAATTTTATATAAATTATAAAAATTGTTTATTAAAAAATTTTTCAAATAATTTATTTCAAATGCCTTGACAAAAATATTATCTTAAAATACATAATATACGATCAGAAAAAAAGTCAGCAAAGAGTCTCTATTTTTTCAAATAAATTATTTTTTCTTTCGAAGAGAAATTTTATTTAAAACAAATAAATAATTTAATAATATTATTAATTATATTATTAATATTTATTTATTAAATATAAATTTTTGTAGAAAATTAATAAAATTATTTAATAAAATATAAAATAATAATAATAATTAAAGACTCTGCGACAAGTAGAAAAACATAGTCAGGGTTGGACCGCACCTTTTGAACTTTGTTTATAACTTTTTAAAAAAAAATACATTTTAGACTATTGAGCAGTCGTAAAATTGAGGATAAAAATAGTCTGAAAGTGGGTCAGTAAATTCGGACATAAAATGATTAGAAAAATAATTATTATTATTGTAATAGTAATAATTATAATAATCAAAATAATAATAATATTAAAAATACTAATAATAAAAAATGGTAATAAGAAAATATATTAATAATAATAAAAATTTATTTTATTTATAAAATAAAATTAAAAGTTCCTCTAAATTCTTAAAATAATTATATTGCACTGGTCCGAAATTATCAATGCGATAAATAATGGGAGCAAAAAGAATATAAAATTTGATAATCATTAAATATAAAAATTAGCATATAGAATGGAGTTGAAAATAAAGGTCAAATAATTATTGAATGTACGTAATAGAACTGATATAAAGAAAAATTAAAATTTTTTTGAAAAAAAAGTTTGTGAATTACTCAATTTTTAATTAAAAGAAAAAAAATTGTTGAAACTTGGAAAAAAACATTTTTTTTACACCAATCTGTAATGTAAGGTGTTAAAAAATATTTCAACTAAATTTTAATGAACTTGAAATAATTTTAAATATATATATATATATATATATATATATATATATATATATATATATATATATATATATATATATATAAAGTATCAGAATTTATTAGAGATTTTTTATTAATACCTTAATTTTAATTCAAAATTACACCATCACGCACATTTCGACGAACTACTTGCATTTTTATAAGAGCAGTTATACATACATATTTTTAAATGAAAACACTCTCTAAAAATGTTACATCAGGAATCACTAGTGTATAACTTTCTTTTAAATTTATTTAATTTACATTATTTTATTACACTACTTTACAGTGAAAGAATTTATTTTTCCATTAACGTTTATTTCTTTTGGTGATGGACAATTTTTTTTTCTTACTAAAGTTTATTTTATAATTTATTGCATTATACTTTATATTGATTTTTGTCTTTTGTTTCGTCTCTTTTTTTGTATTCTTGTTTTATATTTTTTATCTCTGTTTCAATTTTGATTTGCTTCTTTTAGTTTTTGATTTGAATATTTAGTTTATTTTTTATTTTATTTTTTTTGTTTTTGTTTTTGTCGTACTTTTTGTTTTGCTTTTTTTTATTTTTGGTTTTGGTTTCTTATTGTCAGCTTCTTTCAGTTTTTATTTTCTTTGTTTTTGGTGTGTATTTTTAGGTTTTTTTACTTAAGTATTATTTCTATTTTTTTTTTGTTTTTTTATTTTTGATTTGCTTGTTTTAGTTTTTGATTTAAATATTTAGTTTATCTTTTTATTTTATTTTTGTTTTTGTCGTATTTTTTGTTTTGCTTTTTCTTTATTTTTGGTTTTGGTTTCTTATTGTCAGCTTCTTTCGGTTTTTATTTTCTTTTCTTTGTTTTTGTTGTGTATTTTTAAGATTTTTTAGGTTTAGTATTATTTCTATTTTTGTTTTTTTCTTTCTCTCTTTTCTTTCCTCCTTCTGCTTCTTTTAAATTAATTTCTTTCTTTATTCTTATTCTTTGATTTTGATATTTACCTTGTTTCTTCTTACTTTTTTGCTTTCTGCTTTATTTCCTTGTTTTTGTTGAGTATTGCTTTTATTTTTTCCTCATGTTTCTATTTTGTTTCTTCATTTGTTTATTTTATTTTTTATTTGAATATTTACTTTACTTTTTTGTTTCTTTTTTTCTGTTTTTATTTTTGTCGTATTTTTTGTTTTGTTTCGCTTTTTCTTCTTTTTTGATATTGGTTACTTATTGACACTTATTGGCAACTACTTTCGATTTTCTTTTCTCTTTTCTTTGTTTTTTGTCGTATATTTTTAGATTTTTATTTATTTTATAGTATTATTTTATACTTTGTGTTTTTCTTTCTTTTGTTTCCATTCTCTGCTTTTTTAAATTTATTACTTTCTTTATTCTTTTTACTTTTATTTTTCTTATTTCTTTCTATTTTTTATTTTCTTGGTTTTTCTTTTATTCCTTTTACAGATTTTTTATTTTGTTTCGCTTTTTGTTTCTTTTTTTTGTTTCCTTCTTCTGTTTTCTTTGACTTCATTTATTTCATCATTTTTATTCTTCTATTTTGCTTTTTATTTTGTTTTTGATTTCTTCTTATTTTATTTTCTCTTGGTTTTTGTTTTATTCTTTCTATTTTTTATTTTGTTTTTATTTTGATTTTCTTTCTTTTCTTTCCTTCTTCAGGTTTCTTTGATTTTATATTTTTCTTGATTCATGTTTTTTTATTTTGTTTTCATTTTGTTTTTTTTCTTTGCTTCTTCAGGTTTCTTTGATTTTATATTTTTCTTCATTCTTGCTTTTTTATTTTGTTTTTATTTTGTTTTTTTTTCTTTACTTCTTCAGGTTTCTTTGATTTTATATTTTCCTTCATTCTTGTTTTTTTATTTTGCTTTTTATTTTATTTTTTCTTTCCTCATGTTTCTTTTTCTTGTTTTTTGATTTTCTTTCTATAAAGCTGTTCATTTTGATTCGTTTTTTCCTTCATCTTTTTTGCTTTTTTTGATTTTATTTTCTTTAATTTTGTTTTGCTTTCTTCTTTTTGATTTTTTTTTCATTTTGTATGCCTTTTTTATTTTATTTTTTGCATTTTTCATTAGTTGATTTTTTTATTTGATTTTTTTATTGTTTTTTTTTTTCATTTTTTCTTTCATTTCGTTTTAGTTTCTTCTTTTTGCTGTTTTTTCATTTTTCTGTTTTTGTATTTCTCTTTTTTATTTTGTTTTCTTCTGTTTTTATTAAATTTTATTCGCTTTTCTTTAATTTCGATTTGCTTTCTTATTTTTGCTTTTTTCATATTCTTTTTTTTTTGTTTTATATTACGAATTCCTTTTTGTTTTTTGTATTTTTGTTTTCTTTTTTTTTTGTTTCCTTTTTTTTGTTTTGTTTTGTCTCTTTTTTTGCATTCTTCTTTTTTGTATTATCTTTTTTTTATTTGCAAAATAACATTTATTTATTTTTTTGTCGTATTTTTTGTTTTTCTTTATTTTTGGTTTTGGTTTCTTATTGTTAGCTGTTTTTGGTTTTTATTTTATTTTCTTTCTTTTTGTTGTATATTTTTAGGTTTTTCTGTTTTCTTCTTCTCCACTTTTTTTATTTAATTTTTTCTCAATTTTTGTTTTAATTTTGTTCTAATTTTGTTTTTATTTTATTTTACTTCTATTTTCATCTAATTTTGCTTTTTCGATTATTTTTTAATTTTTTTTTTCTTTTCATGTTTTCTTTCTTTGTTTGCTGGACTTTAATTTTCTTTTCTTTATATATTTTGCATTACAATTATTTTTTCTTTTTTTTTACTTTTAATTCATTATTTTTCCCCCTAAAACTACTGCTATATTTATACTTATTTTTTTAAAAATTTTATTTGGACAAATTTTTGAAAAATAATTTTATTTTCTTAAAAGAAAAATTTCCAAATTACAAGATTGATTATTAGCAATGATAACCTTTCGATAATTAATTATAATATCGAATGTGTCTCATTAATTTATATAATTACACTTTAAAGTTTTCACAACACCTCTAATAGTGTGATTCCACTAACTTTATTTCACATAACATTCAATTTTTTGAAATTAATGACATCATTAAGTCATTGGAGGTTTTATTTTACTACAGCATTTGTGATTTACTGTTTTTTTAATTTTTACCTTTTTATATTTTTTACTTAAAAAAAAATCATTGTCGATTTTTGCAAATTATAATAGTTTCCAATACTGATCCACAGTTTTTCTAAGTCTTTTTTTTCTCAGTTTTTCTAAAAAAAAACATTAAAAAGTTGCAATACGTTTTGATACGTTTTTTGTCTCAATTTGCTATCCTTAGAGAAACTGTGGATCTGAATCTGAAATCTTTAAAAATTGGAAAAATTTTATGCAGATTAAAAAATATGATACTCACTATTGATAATTATTTTTTGAAATAATTTATAATTTTCTTAGTTTGAAATTAAATAAATAAAAAAAATAAATAATTGATGAAAATGTTCTAATTAACTTTTTTTGAATAATTATAGTCATTAACTCAATAAAAATACAAAAATCATCAATTTAAGTCGCTGAGTTTGATGACGCTGATAATTAAAATTACCCAGACTGAATTTTAAATATCAAAAAAATAACCAATGGGATTTTTGGTTTTTTATTTTTTTTTCGAAAATTGAATGTTAATATTTAAAAGACCTTAGTTGGATATTAACATTGTGTCGAGGTTGAACTGAAGAGGTATGGTGGTCGGGCCCATGGGCGGACCCAGCCGCTCCCGAAGGGGACCTATATAAGTAGACCTGCAGAGCCGCATAAGGCGATCTTTATAAATACAATCACCATTGCCTCTTCGACGAGGGCAACGATGCGTCTTCCCGTGAGTATTGTATAAATAAATAATATCGTCAACTTTTTCCGGTCAAATTAATAAATAAAAAAAAAAAAAAAATTCCTCTTCAAGTTCGCGAGTGTCACACACAATATAAAACAAAAAGTGGATTTTGTGCTTCGAAAATTAAAAAAAAAATGCTCTCCCTTTTTTGTGATATATTTAAAATTGTTATTTAATAATAAAATCAGATCAAAAAAAATAAAATCAGATTTTTTAGATATTTTTTTCAATTCTTTCCCTCTCTCTGAAAGTTGGAGAAAATAAAAAAAAATTATTTGTATAAAAAAATACTTTCTATTATTTGAATATCAAAGATTTCGAAAATTTTCTTTCAAAGAATTTTTTTAAATTCATTATTTATTGACTGTAATTAATTTTCTATTAGTATTTTGTTTATTTTTTAAAATAATTTAAATTCCATTCAAAATTTTAACAAGAAATAATAATATTACTATATTGAATAATATATAATTCAATAGTAAAAAATTAAAAATCACAAAATAGAAAATAATAATAATATAAACAATAAAATAAAAAAAGTATTAAAAAATAAATATAATTAATAATAATAATATAAATAATGATAATAAAAAAAATTATTAAAATATAAAAGTAATAAGTATTCATAACAATAATATCTTCCAATACAGATTTAAATTTTTTTTAAAATTAGAAAAGTGTGAAATTCTTTTACCTTGTGTAATTATATACGTGAATCATAGTGCATAATCACTACCAACGATTATCGCATCTTATATTTGAACCCACGCGAGATGACATTATATCGAATTGTGTTTCTTTTTCGAGTTCATTGCAACCGCGAGGTTGAAACGCGTGTTTATTCACTTGTTAAACATCATGTAATAATCAGTGGAGTTATTTCACTTCCGTTTGGAGACGAAAAAATTTTTTTTCTTTATTTATAATGTTATATTTTATTTTTTATTTGATTAAAAAATTTATTACAATTTATTTAAAAATATTTTTTAATTATTAGTATAAATTTATACTATTCTTCTTTTTTTTTACTATTTTACTTATTAACAGTATTAATTAATTTTTTCAATTGTTTTTTATAGTTATTTTTATTAATTTTGACAATATTAAATAATTTTTTTGTCATTTGTAAATAAATAAATAAGTTTTGCAACAATTTCTTTATTTCAAAATTATATGAACAAGAGATTTTTAATTGAAAATTTATAAAATTTATTTTTTAATTGAATTTATTTATTGAATATAAAAATAATGTAGTTCGATATTTTCTTCATTTCTTTATTTAAATGTTATATGAATTTATTTTTTAAAAATAATTAATTTGAAAATTTTTTTCTATTTATTTATTTCAAAGTTATGGAAACAAAAGCCTTTTATTAAAAAATTTACATAATTTATTGTTAAATAGAATTTATTTTATATATTAATTTATTATTATTATATTTTATATATTAATAATCAAATAATTATTAGTTTATAGAACTTTTTTTTATCATGTTGAAAATAATTGCAATTTTCTTTTATTACCATTTACTATTGTTTCAAAGTTGGGCAAAATATTTTTTATTTAAAATTTAAATAATTTACTGTTTATTAGAATTTATTTATAAAATAGTTATATTATTATGAGTTTATAGAATTTATTTATTGAAAATAAAAGTTGAAAATTGTTTTTAATCATTATTTATACAAATAAACAAGTGCAAAAATTTGAACATGTCTTTGAAATTCTTTGATCTCTGACATGAGGCGTGTCGATCGATAAATCACCACACAAACAATATAAATAAATATAGTCCGGTTTTACAATTGAAAATTTTCTCTGTGACACTCATTATGATGAATGTTGATTTTATTAAAATAATAAAAAATATATAAGATAAATAAATAACACGTTACGTTTTCATTTTTTTTTTTTTTTATAAATATTATGTTTTGACAAATTTTCTTTTTTATTTATTTATTCCTTTTTATTTATTTCATTCCAAATTAATTTTCATCTATTAACTAACAATTTTGTTTAAATACTTTTTTTGTCTATTGTTTTGTAATTTAGGAAAGTGATATCAATTCTTTCTCTCGACGTTGAGAATGTGATTTTTTATCATTAGTATGTTAAATAATAATCGTAAAAAATTAATAAAAAAAAATTGTCTACGTGAAATCAATTTGATTTTGTGGTTTAGTTGCTACTCAAAACGAATAATTGTCATTGGTCACGCGTCAAAATCACTATGACTTTATTTTAATCGCATTCAGATCACTTGGACCTGTTTTTACGTAAGTCGTTTTAGAAAGCGAATTGTTGGTATTGTGAATATGCTCGACAATAGGTTTTTGTCCTATTTGCACTTTATAGTAGTATATTTTTTTTATTCACTATTTCAGGTGCTGCTTTTGATTTTTTCCCTTGGATGTGGATTAGCTCAACAATATGACACGAGCACAACACCTGTACCAATTCTAAAGCAAATAAACAGGTAAATTATTTTTAATTAAAATTTTTCTTTTTTTAATTAAAATTAAAAATTTTGTTCAGTTACCAGAAGATTAACTGTTTGCACTCTTAAATCCGAGTTACGAATTAATATTTTTACAATCTCATCCCTTCACATTGAGTGAAAAATAAACAATAGTTTAGCCACCGCAGTCGCGTATAGCTGGCAGGGACGACGGCGCATGCGAGCCGCGCATCTGTCTCCCCCCACCACTCGCGCTCGTAGCAGGATATAAACCTCGTTTTCAAGGTCTTCTTCCTCAGTTCGTCTTCCGCCTTGGCTCGAGGTGTTCTTCGGTCTAACAGGAAATGAACTCAACTCTCAGTATTTTGAGTTATTGAATAAAACAAAATTGTTCTTTCTTTCATGACGGTTTCTTTATGATAAATTAAAAGTTATGCCAAATTTAATAAATCTTTTTCCCTTATTCGTCACAAATAATTTTCTAGTACCAACGTGATAGTCAGACGCCAGTTAATTTTATTTTTGAAAAATAAATCAACTCTCTAATAAACAAATACCAAAAATGTCATCACAAATATCTCAAAGGAGATTCCGTCGGGAAAATAAGCAAAAAGATATTAGTTACTGAATTAAAATCAAACTTTGTAGAACAGTTTGACAGATTTATTAAGTTTGCCTTCGACAACAGTCACAAGTTCTGTCAAATTAAATTTTTCTCCAGGTCCCTTACTGTTTCTAATTTTCACAAATGATTTGAGAAGTATTCTACAACATACAATGACCTGGGTTTACAGGATTTAGCGAACGACCCATCAGGCAAAGTAGAAAATTATAGCACACAGCTAGGATGATAAGGAATTTACATTTACTTTTATTAGAAGTTTAACTTTCTTCCTCACCAATGACACCAATTTATGTTTTAGACACAATGAAGACGGTAGTTACAGTTATGGATACGAGGCAGCTGATGGATCCTACAAAATAGAATCAAAACATCCGAATGGTGAAGTTTTTGGCAAGTATGGTTTTATTGACGACACTGGAAGTGTGAGGGAAGTGGAATATGGAGCGACTCGTTCAAGGGGATTTGAACCAGCTGGCACGGGTATCAATGTCCCACCACCAGTCGCTGGGAACAGTATTAATACCAATGAGCCTGAAGATGATGGACAATATCGAGAGGATCCCTCTGTTTATTACACGGATCCAAGATATACAAATGGTGAACGTTACGATCCAGTGCCTAAAAATGCTTTGCGACAACAGCACGCAGCATATCAACAACAACACCAACAACAACTTGCGTATCAACAACAAGCATTGCAAAAGTCCCAACAACCACTTGCCTATCAACCACAAAGTGCCTATCAACAACCGTCATATCAGCAGCAAATAGCCTATCAGCCATCGCCTGTGAGGTAATAATTTGTCTCCTTAGGATCCTTTGGATTAAAATCTGCAATTTTTGGGGCGAAGCTAAAAAAGCTTTGGCTAACAATTGTAGTAACGACGTCCTAACATCTGCATACAGACATCTACAGTTTTTAGTCAAAGCCAGAAAAGCTTTGGCTAACAATTGTAGTAACGACGTCCTAACATCTGCAAACAGACATCTACAATTTTTAGACAAAGCTTTTCAGCTTTGGCTAAAAATTGTAGATGTCTTTTTGCAGATGTTGTTAGGACGTCGTTACCGATATATTTAAGACCCTTTCCCATCTTTTCGTATCTTTCAATCTTTTCGGTGTCATCAGACCCAGATATTAATCACCTAAAGATGTTCTTTCTTTGTCCTTAAAATTTCTCAAGTCTTCAAAAACTAAAGACAGCAATCTTTAGTTATTGAAAACTTGATAAATCTTTAGCATCTTTAGTTATTGAAAACTTGATAAATCTTTAGCATCTTTAGCTTCCTCTTGCCATTCGGAAATTGCTTACAGTTTTCAGGAATCAATTTCATTTCTAAAAACCGGTAAAAGGTGGTTGATTCCTGTCATCCTCAAATGTATGGATCACAATTACTATTCAGTTACAGAAAGACCCATTAAAAGAATAATCATGTTTCATCAAAGTTGATCTAAAATTGTTACAAGATAATTGTCAAGGTGTGTTTCGTTCCATTCATTAACGAATGTATCCAACAATTATATTATGTTTGAAAAACACTGATTACTTGTTGGGAAAAAAAACTCAATAATAGTTCATGGCAAGAACTGTATATATGTAAATTGGTATTTACAATTGAATTTGCTCTTTAAAGAAAGACGTTTACAACTTGTTTCCTGCTTTTACAAGACACAGTTCACTCTTGTATTTTTCTAATATTTCTCACATATCACAATTTTATCTTTTCTTACACTTTTGCAACAATTTGATATTTACAAACAAACTTTATTATCATTAATTTAAACAGTACATTTTTCCTCCTTTCTCAAAATCATTTTCATCTTTTTTTGACATTTTTAGTCTGGTAATTCAATTCGAATAAAATTTTTTTTCAACATCTAGATTTTTATGATAATTTCCTCACTTTTTCACCTATAAATAAGTGTTACGAAAAGAAAATTTGTGGATGAGACTGTACGAGATCATAGGGTACGAAAGGGAATCAAATGTCAAGCAAATCTCTTGAAAGTTTCGAACAACATTTATATAGATATATATATATATGTATATATAGAAAGAACGTGGGAAAAACGAATCGAGAAATTAACTGTAGGTCTTGTTGCAGTAAATCCGTTGCTTCTCCTGCGTACCAACAACCAGCAATTCCCGCCAATTCACAAGGAGAATATCGACCGCAATATAGAAATCCCTATCAGCGACCTCAGTATCAACATCAATATGAACAACCTGCACAGTCGGTAGCGCAACCACAGTCGATAGTTCAAAGAAGATATGAGGGTCCATTAGCAACTAATTCCCCATCAACTTTGGGTTCCTATTCTGTTCATTATAAACGGTAGAATTATTTTTTTTTCTCTACTTTTTAATTAATTAATTAAATAATTAATTATTATTTTTACCAAAAAAATTATGTTTCACTTAGTTTTTCCGCGTAAAAATAAAGAGAAATATTTTTTTCATTCCTTCACAGATGAAATTTTTGTATTTTTAAATTAAAAAATTTTTTAAACGAGATTTTTTTTCTAAAACGAAATGATGTATGTTCTATGAAATGATTTTTGTAAAACGAAATTGTTTTCCTTCGGTAAAATTTATTTTTCGTATAAATATTGATTTAAGAGACTCGTACCCAAAAAAAAAAATTTAATTAGAAAGAATATAAATTTTGTGAAATTATTTATTTTTATTTTATCATAATTATATGATTACTACAAGGCTCGAACTAAATCAGTAAATTCCGTAAAGGACCGTAAATTTGATTCAAGTCCGGAAAAGTCAGATTTTTTAAAAAAAGGTCCGTAAAAAAAAAAGTTATTAAAAAAAAAAAAATTCAAATTTTTTTTACAAAAAGTTCGTAAATTGTACGATATAATTTGGAAAATTTTAGAGAAATTACAAATTAATGCAGAAATTCAATTATTTTCAAAAGTAATAAAATTCTTAGCAAAAATTCAATTATTTTTAGGAATTTTAAAAAATTCTTGTCAAAATTACAATTATCTTTATAAATAATAAAATTCTTCTCCGAAATTTTCAATTATTTTCAAAAATTTGAATAAAACTGTTGGCAAAATTTCAATTATTTCAAAAATTTTGCTCAATTTAATGATTTTCAATATCAATTTTCATAAACTGATAATATTTTCACAGAAATTCAATTATTTACAAATTTTCTATAAATTTCTTCGTCATATAATTCAATTATTTTTCTATTATAAATAATAACATTTTTGCAGAGATTAACTTATTTTTGTAAATAATAAAATTCTTTTTAATTGTTTTTATAAATAGTAAAATTCATCGCAGAATTTCAATTATTTTTAATAAAATTTTAAACGAATTCCTCGATAAATGTAATTATTGGTATTAAAAATTTTATTAAAATTCGTCAAACGAATTCAATTATTTAAAAAAATTGTTGATAACATTCTTTATGAGAATTCAATTTTAAGAAACATTCAAAAATACAATAAATTATTTTTCATATTTAAATAATTGAATTCTAGTAGAATTTTATAATAAAAATTGATTTAAAAATAAATTTTAGTTAAAAAAACAATGAATTTGAAAATTTAAAAAAAAAACTATTTCAAAAATTACAAAAAATAATGGATTTATAGAAAAATTTTAGTTCACATTAAAAAAAATTTAATTTTGGAGAAGTTACAAATTATTGCAGAAATTCAATTGTTTTCAAGAATAATAAAATCCTTCGCAGAAATTTAATTATGTTGAAAAATAGTAAAATTCTTCTTTAGAAATTCAATTTATTTTCATAAATAATAAAACTCAAAGGAGAATTTGAATTATTTTTAAATTTAATACAAATTTAATTTCAATTCTCAAGAATTTTAATAAAATTCTTTACAAAATTCAATTATTTTCATAAATAACAATATTAATCACGAGAATAAAATTATTTTCAAGAGCAATAAAATTCTTTTCAGAAATTCAATTATTTTCAATTATCTTTATAAAGCAACAAAATTCTTCGCTGAAATTCAATTATTTAAAAGAAATTTTAACAAAATTCTACACAAACATATTTCATTATTTTCATAAATAATAAAAATTTACCACGATTTCAATTATTTACAAATTTTTCATAAACTTTTTCGCAATAATTTCAATTATTTTTATAAATAATAAAACTGTTCTCAGGAATTTAATTATTTTCGCATGAATAATCCAACTCGTCGCAGGATTTTAATTATTTTTGATACAATTTTTATCGAATTACTCGAAAAATATAATTATTCTTAAAATTATTTATTAAAATTCGTCAATAGAATTCCATTAAAAATTTGTTGACAAAATTCTTTATAAGAATTCAATTTTAACAAAAATTCACATATTCAAATAAATTATTTATTTTTAATTTTAAATAATTGAATTTTCGTAGAATTTTCTAAGACAAAAATTGATTAAAAAATGAATTTCAGTTAAAATTTTAGATAATAATTGAATATTAAAAGCAATATAGCGTGGATTTTTGGAAATGATTGAATTTCGAAATTAATTTGTTTGAAAAAGTTTAAATGAATTTTTTTTATATTATTTGAAGTTTTTATTTTCTAATATACATTTAATTGAAGAATTTACGAATAATTGAAATTTTTAAAATTGAATATTGTAAATAAGTGGATTTTGAAAATTGTAGAAGAACTTTTTTGAACATTAATTTTGGTTTAAAGAAAAATTTTCAGTGAAAAATTCTTTAAAATAATAATTGAATTGAAATGATGAAAATAATTTTGAAGAAGTACATACAATATTCTTATAATTTAAAATAATTATTTTATCAGTTTGTCATTTTTAATTATTATAAAAAAAATTTAATTTCTACTTTTAAGTAAAATGTTCTTGACTCGGACTGGTTATATTTTTGTCAATAATAATAGTCCGTAATTTTTCATTTTTGGTTTGTATTTTTAAATACTTTTATTGATTCAAGCCCTGTTACTAATTAAAATAAATTATATATATTTAAATAATATAAACAGATTTTTACCTAAAATTTGTCATAAAAATAAAATTTGAAATTCAATTACACAATAATATAAAGTCGAAAAATATTATTTCACGAATTTTAATTCTTTCTAATTAAAAATCACTAAAATTTAGTAGAATTCATGTAGAAATTCTATAGAATTTTTTCAGCTGGGTAGCTTAGTATCTAAAAAAGCTGATACAAAAAGAAATTATTCTTAATTTTACAAATCTGTTTGTTCTTTGTTTCTTTAAAAGAAGATCTCTTAAATTATTGCTTGCAAATTTTTGTCAACTGTGAATAGAAAAAGTATGATCACACTTTTTTAAGACTGTACTACCTCATATAATATGTATTCAACGAAATGAATAAAGACAAAAAAAAATTTTTTTACTCGAATTACTGGATTCATTTGACAAACGATTTCTTATTCCTTCTGATGGGACATTTACATTCGAAAAATTGTAAATGTTGTTACATTTACATTTTTTCAATCAATTTTATCAAATTTGCCCAAATAGCGTTTTTTGGGAATCTTTTTTTATCTCTTGACATTTTAGGATGCTTTTTGTATTAATATTTGAATGTAAGAAAAATTTTTGACTTTGGTGGAAATTAAGACTTTGAAAAGATTTCTTAAAAGTAGTACCAAAGAATTTTATATGCTATAAACAAAAATTGAAAGTTGGATTTTAAATAATGGTTCATTCGCACTGTATAATGGAGCATAATTTTAAAAAGTAACGACCTTGTCTTGGTATCTGCGAATTGAGTAGGAGATGAATACCTGTTATACATTCTGCAACCTAGAGATTAAAAAAAAAATTGACTTACATTGTAAATTGTACTTTATAGCCACACCCATCTTAACTTGAAGTCATTGTTCTTTTGTCACTTTCAATAATATCTATATGCAACTGCATTAAACATTAGCATCTAAATGATAAAGGAATATAAATCTGGATAGTGTTACAATAATAGCATTCAAATTCTTTCGCAATTCTTATTTTCGCATTTTTAATTTGATAATTATGCAGGATGTAAATCCTGCATAATTATCAAATTAAAAATGTTCTGTATAAATATCATTTTTAGATTATTAAACAATTATAAACATTTTCTTTCTTTTCATCATCATCATCCTTTAATTAAAAATTACTTCGCAGAAATTAAAAATTGTCGATTAAAATTATGCGCTTGCAAATAGTAATTGTATAACAAAATAAACTTTCTTTATGATGAAAAGCGCAACGCATTCTCTCTCTCTCTCTCTTTCTTTACGAATATCGCACTGCACGCAACTCTTGTTTTTCATCAAATGGAAAAAGTTCGATTCTACCATACATTCCACCTTGTTTCGATTTTAAACTCACGCTCTCGTTTTGCGTAATCCTAGAAATTAAAGGAAGTATATATATTTCATGCTGATCTAAATATTTACGCTTCGTGCAAAACGCCTGTTTCACTTGTATTGCATTACAATAAATTTTCCAATGATTATAAATATATACTTGCGTGAGTAAAATAATTTTTGAAAAGACAATTTTTTTTTGTGTAGCATATTATAAATCTGTTCTAAACATTGTAGCACTTCTAAATATTATCTAAATTATTGACTTTTAATTTAAAATCAGAATAAGTATAATAAATAAAAAAACAATAATAAAATTATTATTTTCTATCATAAAATACTTACTTATAAATTATTTAATGAATAATTTTACTTAAATATATCTAAATTGTAATTAAATTTTACAAGAATTGCGTTTACAATTTTCATAACTAGATCAACTTCAAAAGGTTCTATAATTTAAAATTTTTTAAATTTCAATTTTGAATGAATTCAATTAGAAATTTTAATGAATAATATAGATTTTTCAAAAAATTTAAATAATTCAATTTTTTCTGAAATTAGTTAAATTTTTTAATACATATTTCTTAAGCTTAAATTAAGTAATTCATAACAATTATAATTTTTTGATTTTTTGTTATCGAAAATATTTTTATACAGTCAAAAATTTTCAAAATTTTCTTTTTTTTGGAAAGGCCCCCCCTTTCCAATTTTTTTTAGTAAGGGTCCCCCCTTTTCAAATTTTTCTTTATTTATTTTACATTTTTTATTTATTTTACAAAAAAATTTATTTCCGAAATTCTTAGAAAGAAATCAATTATCTTGATAAATATCAAAAATTCTTTTCAAAAGCACGAATTCAATTTTTCTCAAGAATTTCAATAAAATTCTTTGCAAAAATTCAATTATTTTCATAAATAACAATAGGTATTAATTGCGAGAATAAAATTATTTTCAAGAGCAATAAAATTCTTTTCAGAAATTCAATTATTTTCAATTATCTTATAATAATCAGCAAAATTCTTCTCTGAAATTCAAGTATTTAAAAAAAAAATTAATAAAATTCTACAGAAACATTTAATTATTTTGATAAATAATAAAAATTCACCGGGATTTCAATTATTTACAAATTTTTTATAAATTTTTTCGCAAAAATTCAATTATTTTTATAAATCATAAAACCGTTTTCAGGAATTGAATTATTTTCGCATAAATAATACAACTCGTCGCAGGATTTTAATTATTTTTGATACAATTTTTATCGAATTCCTCGAAATTTATGACACAAATTAACAAAGTTATCCTTTTGTTGATTAAAATTATTTAAACAATAAGGTTATGGATTTTTAATATAATTCTACTTTAAAATGAAATAAAAGCTAACTTATAATGCTATTCAATAACAGAAAAGCTTCATCATCATCATCTTCAAACTTTATTAACAAATAAAAAATTTTAGATATTATTTATTAAAAATCGGCTTGGTGGAATTGATGAGCATTTTAATAGGTTTTCATTTTAAAAAAAGTTTATTAAATTTCATTAAAAATTGAAGCT